TAGCTGCATGACAAATTAACCTACAATTCAGCAGTTTGAAACAACAGACGTTTATTATCTCGCACAGTTTCTGAGGGATAAGAGTCAAGGAGCTGCTCAGCTGGGTGATTCTGGCTCTCAGTCGCTCAGGGTTGCCCTTGAGATGCCGGCAGTGGCTGGGGTCTCATCTGAAGGCTCGACAGGGCTGGAGGATCTGCTTCTAAACACCACACTCTGTTGGCCTCTCCATAGCAGAGAACAGCTGGCCTCTCTCAGAGTGGAGAATATGAGAGACAAAGAGGTAGGCCAGGATGCCCCTGCAATCTGACCTTACTGGTCACGCAGGTCAACCTCAGTACATTCACAAGGCTGAATACCCGGTGGGGGCTCTTGGGGGCCTCCTCCTTCCTTGCATCCTAGGATGGGTATGCCCCCCAGGGCTCCATGGAGCAGAGAGGAGCCAGGCACAGCTGCAGGACCCTCTGGGCTCAGCTGCTTCCCCGGGAAAAGAGAGCAGGCCCTGGAGCCAGGGCACGCCAGTGCGTGCCAGGGGAGAGGAAGAGGCTGCTGGGGCCTAGAGACACTCGGGCAACCGCAGGAGTTCTGGTGGGGGCGCTAAGGCCTCACCTCTCACAAGCCAGGGCTCCAAGCAGCCCCAGGCCCTGCCCCAGCCCAAATTCCCAAGTGACTGGAGTTTCATGGGCCTGGCCAGGAGGACTTCTGTCACCATGAGGACTAATTCTTTCTCCAGATTTCAAACACCTATGACTTGCTGTCATTGTCTGGTCCCCAAGCCCTGACCCCACAGGCAAGACAGAGGGGCCCAGCGTCACAGGGCTCCACAGGGCTGAGACACCCACAGAGGCAGGCAGATCCCCTGACCTTGCACATGAATTCAGCATTTATTGACCCTTGGTCCCTGCCAGGGTCCAACTGGGCTGGAAGGAGGCCACAGATGACTGAGGCTCCACCTGCCAGTGGAGGAGAAACGACCAGCGGGCCTTCCGGCCACACCCTCCCCCCAGGAGGAGGAAGCTCGGTCCCTCCCACACGCCCCCAACACAGCCACGTCTGTGGTTCTGCAGGGAAGGCCTGCAAGACGAAAGCCAAACCAAAGGGGTGGAGGCGGACAGGAATTACCCAGAGCCCCTCTGAGGCATGGGAGGGGGCAGGAAACGGGCGGGGAAGGGGGGAGGGTGGCAGTAGGAAGAGCCCCTGGTGTGAGGGGGAGACCCCCCCAGCTCTCCGCGGATGGCGCAGGTGTCCAGGCTGAGTGGGGAGAGGGGTGTGGCCTCCTCCCACAGACAAGGATACTGCGGAGGGGTGGCCTGGGGACGGGCCCAGCCTCAGCCCCCGCTGTGCCCCCTCACACCCCCCTAATCTAACCAAGGGCGACACCCTCCGCAAACCTCCTGGCTCCTCCTTCATCCAAGCTAATTAACGAGGTCTGTATGGCCTGAGCCCGACCTGAGCGCCTTCCTGTTCCAGGCAGGTGCTGGGGACAGGAGTGAGTGACACAGACACGGCCCTGGCCTCCAGAGCCCTCGGAGCCTGGGGTGGCTGCCTCAGGTGGGAAAGTGAGGAGAGAATGGGGCGGGGGGCGGGGTGGGGGGTGAGTACAAAGGGATAGAGACGGGAGGAGCTTGCCTGTCTGAGGAACAGTGTGGCTCCCTCTGAGCCTGAGAGGTCCCTGGAGGGCTAACAGGGTGCTCGGCGCAAAGATCACTTTGGCAATAGCGTCTTGAGAACAGATGGCCAGGAACAGGAAGTAAGGGAGGGGGCAAGGCCCTGGGACGGAGGTGGCGGGGTCTGGTCTGGCGCTGTTGCCACCCTCTCCCTGGAGAAGGGAGAGTGTGATGACCCAAGTCCCAAGCAGCCCTTCTCTCTCTGGCCACCAGGTGGGGTGCTCCCCCTACTCACGGACCCACCCACCCAGCTTCATATCCCAAAGCACCACCACCACCACCACCACCACCACCACCACCACCACCACCACCACCACCGCCCCCCACCCCCGCCCACCCCTCCTGCCCTGAGGCCCTCCCTGAGCGGTTCCCCTCCCCCAGCCAAGCTGAACTTCTGGCTTCTGCAATGGACCCTCTACAATTCTCCTGCTGGGAGGGCCTCCCAGGCTGGTCAGCAGCAACTCCCCCACAGTCCTGCTGGAGACCCGGCTCTCCCAGCCTCCCCAGGGCCTGTGTGCAGAGGGTGCGGCACCTGGCCTGCATGGCTGCAACTGTCCAGGACCACTGGCCTGGGTCCTGGACACTCCGGGAGATGGGCCAGGCAGCTAGAGGCAGGGGAGGAACTGGCTTGGTGGGACGTGGCGGGCCCTGCCGGGTGTGCACGGCTGAGTCCAGGAGGGCAGGTGAACCCTGCGCATGACACGGGCACGGGAGCTGATGGGGCCACTGGAGGAGGGGCAGGCCAGACCCGGCAGTGATTCACCCTCCTCCTCCGCGATGGCCCCTGGCCAGGCAGGAGGCCGGCAACCATCAGGTGAACTTGGCTGTGGTTGGGAAACAGATCTTGCCTCAGCCTCAGGAGGGCTCAGGATGAGACACTGCAGTCCCAGCTGTGTGCCTTGGACCACCCCCTCACCGCATGTGGAGCACAGCCCCCAGCAGCAGCCTGGGGAGGCCTGGGACCACAGGACAGCGACTCCAGGGGTGGGGGGTGGGGGACCATGCCCAACGCCGCCTAGGATTGCTGTATTGTAGGGTGAACACACAGCCGGTGCTTAGGACGGATGCGTAGGCCGGACCAACGCCAGTTCCTTTGTACTGAAGGGGGACCTCCCCTCTCAGGGCAGGATGGGGCACACAGCAGGGCTGGACTCTGGCAGGAGAAGAGCCCCAGCACTAAGCGCCCTTTGTCGGGCTGGCCCCCGTTCCTTGCCCCTGGGACTCAGATGCCCTCTCCTGCTGGCACCCCTCTCCTGGGCAGACACTGGCCTGGGGCAGGCTCAACGCACGGGTGGGCACAGGCAGCTTTGTGCTCAGCCACAAGAAGGCAGGAGGTGGAACAGGCCAGAACTGAAGCTTCAGGGACAGTCAGCCCTCACCACAGCTCAGCACCAAGACAACAGTGTGAAAATATACGTCTCCACCTTCCAGGGTCCTCGCGAGTGAGAGTGGGAAACAACATGCCCAGTGATGCTACGGGACCGCTTCCCAGCACGGGGAGACATTCTGGAAAAAGTGATGACTGGCCCCGTCCTGCCTGAGCCTCCCGAGGGACCTCTCACACACCCTTCCCCCCACTCCAAGGCGGGTCGCGGCTCCAGCGCAGTTAGATACAGGCAAACGCAAGGCCGGCCGAACCTCCGCGCCGGGCACCTGCGGGCCCAGGTGGGAGCGGAACCCCCGCGGCCCGCCCTGCCCGCTCGCGCGAAGACATCAGCCGACCCCGCTGCCGGGCCTCTGCCGGACTGGACCCTCCACGAAGACGACAAAACAAAGCTCCCGACGCGGTCTCTGGCACCACCACCACCACCGCACCCCACCCCCGCCCACCCCTCCTGCCCTGAGGCCCTCCCTGAGCGGTTCCCCTCCCCCAGCCAAGCTGAACTTCTGGCTTCTGCAATGGACCCTCTACAATTCTCCTGCTGGGAGGGCCTCCCAGGCTGGTCAGCAGCAACTCCCCCACAGTCCTGCTGGAGACCCGGCTCTCCCAGCCTCCCCAGGGCCTGTGTGCAGAGGGTGCGGCACCTGGCCTGCATGGCTGCAACTGTCCAGGACCACTGGCCTGGGTCCTGGACACTCCGGGAGATGGGCCAGGCAGCTAGAGGCAGGGGAGGAACTGGCTTGGTGGGACGTGGCGGGCCCTGCCGGGTGTGCACGGCTGAGTCCAGGAGGGCAGGTGAACCCTGCGCATGACACGGGCACGGGAGCTGATGGGGCCACTGGAGGAGGGGCAGGCCAGACCCGGCAGTGATTCACCCTCCTCCTCCGCGATGGCCCCTGGCCAGGCAGGAGGCCGGCAACCATCAGGTGAACTTGGCTGTGGTTGGGAAACAGATCTTGCCTCAGCCTCAGGAGGGCTCAGGATGAGACACTGCAGTCCCAGCTGTGTGCCTTGGACCACCCCCTCACCGCATGTGGAGCACAGCCCCCAGCAGCAGCCTGGGGAGGCCTGGGACCACAGGACAGCGACTCCAGGGGTGGGGGGTGGGGGACCATGCCCAACGCCGCCTAGGATTGCTGTATTGTAGGGTGAACACACAGCCGGTGCTTAGGACGGATGCGTAGGCCGGACCAACGCCAGTTCCTTTGTACTGAAGGGGGACCTCCCCTCTCAGGGCAGGATGGGGCACACAGCAGGGCTGGACTCTGGCAGGAGAAGAGCCCCAGCACTAAGCGCCCTTTGTCGGGCTGGCCCCCGTTCCTTGCCCCTGGGACTCAGATGCCCTCTCCTGCTGGCACCCCTCTCCTGGGCAGACACTGGCCTGGGGCAGGCTCAACGCACGGGTGGGCACAGGCAGCTTTGTGCTCAGCCACAAGAAGGCAGGAGGTGGAACAGGCCAGAACTGAAGCTTCAGGGACAGTCAGCCCTCACCACAGCTCAGCACCAAGACAACAGTGTGAAAATATACGTCTCCACCTTCCAGGGTCCTCGCGAGTGAGAGTGGGAAACAACATGCCCAGTGATGCTACGGGACCGCTTCCCAGCACGGGGAGACATTCTGGAAAAAGTGATGACTGGCCCCGTCCTGCCTGAGCCTCCCGAGGGACCTCTCACACACCCTTCCCCCCACTCCAAGGCGGGTCGCGGCTCCAGCGCAGTTAGATACAGGCAAACGCAAGGCCGGCCGAACCTCCGCGCCGGGCACCTGCGGGCCCAGGTGGGAGCGGAACCCCCGCGGCCCGCCCTGCCCGCTCGCGCGAAGACATCAGCCGACCCCGCTGCCGGGCCTCTGCCGGACTGGACCCTCCACGAAGACGACAAAACAAAGCTCCCGACGCGGTCTCTGGAAATAAATATTTTCTGGCACAGTCTGAGCGGGTTCTGAGGCCGCGACCTCACCGCAGCCACGGCCTCCAGGGTGCGCCCCGGCCCTGAGCCGCGGCCCCGGGGGCGGCGAGGGGCGCCCCCGTCCGGCCCGGCAGGAAGGGCGGCGCCAAGACCGCCCCGGAGCGCGGCAAGGGGCAGGGGCCGTCGAAGGCTGGCGGCGGCGAGCGGCCCGCGTAAACCGCGGGCGCCAGAACTTCGGCGGCGGGGGCCGGTGGAAGCGGGCGGCGCGAGGGCCCCAGCCGGGCCAGGCAGGTCGCCAGGTGGCCGAGCAGGCGGGACCGCACGTCGGCCGGAACGCCCTCGCAGCCGGCCAGGAAGCGATTCACCTCGGCCAGACACTCGTGGAAGCCGGCGCGGTATTTGCCCAGGACTGCCGGGTCGGCGCGGAGGGCGGCTGCAGGGGCGGCAGGGGACAGGCGGTCGGGGCCCGCGGTGGCGGCGGCTCCGGCCCCAGAGCCCTTGCCGCCGCCGCCCGCGCTCACCTGTCACCTGCACGCGCCGCAGGCTCCGAAGGTGCTTCACGGTCAGCTCCAGGATGTCCGCCTTCTCCAGCTTCGAGCGGCGGGAGCTCTGGGGGCGGGGCCGGTGTGGGCGGCTGGCAGCCCAGGAGCGCCGGGATTGCAGGCTCCCCGATCTCGCCCTCCCGCCCCGACTCACCTCTTTCCTGAGGGCGTCCAGGAGGAGGCTCTGGAGCTGAGCGAGGCTCTCGTTGATGCGCGCTCGGCGCCGCTTCTCCATGACGGGCTTGGAGGACTGCGGGGCCGGCAGCGGCTGAGTCCCGCGGGCGTCAGCTCCCCTCTCCCCCCCGCTCCTGCCAACCGCGTCCGGCCGGGTCCCCACCTTCCGGTGCTCGGCCGCGCTCCGGGGCTGGTCCGGGGTCCGGCGGGCACCGGCCGGCGCTCCCGCCCGCGGCGAGGCCCTCAGCTTCCCC